ACCCTGGAAAATGCCAACTTAAACAGCACTTGAAGACTTCCCGAACCTTTCAAGGCAGTTTCTAGTCACTTCCTCTCCTGTGTTCCCATGGCCCCTTGTACAGACCTCTACTCTAATATTTAAAAGCTACATTGTAATTATTTGTTTGCATATCTGTCTGTCTTCATATGTGGTGCAACAGGAAGTGACTATATCATCTTAGAGTTAGCATTCAATAAATATTTAACCTGAAAGAGCGAAGTAATGCCAATAATCAATAACAAAAGCTTATAATCTCCAAATAAATCCGACCAAATCATTAGTCTGGGTATTATTCTAATCACCTGAGTACCCAGAGAGTACTGACTGTGGAGATTGCCTCTATGATATTCTTGTTCAACAAAATTACCCAATACTGTAGTTGGAACAAAAGTTTTAAAGTTAGGAGTTATTACTCCAGATTAGTAGAAGTTGTTCTTAGAATCCTGATCCCCAGAGGTAGGAGATTTATTTTTATGCAAGACTATGGAAGCTTAGACAACTGCAACTGACATACCAACCCAGAACACCCTCCCCATCTCTCCAAAACCCTTACCTTTAAGAAACAAAACAAAAATTTTCTTGTTATTCTACTTTTGACCTTTTTCCTCTATCTTAAAATCTCCCATAAGGAAACACAGCATTAATAAAAATAAAATAAAGGTTGAGTTTGTTTAAATATTATAAAAATAGTTTTCACATCGCTGAACTTTAGTTCTGTGATTAAGTACAGAAGTTAAATGATAGACAATTCAAGTCACGAGTTTCTAATTTGTAGCCAAGAGTGACATATTAGACATGGACAGCATATAAGATCAACTTATGCTAGATAACAGATTGTGTTACTCACAAGAACAATTCATGATGTAAATTAATTTGCTGAGTACAAATTTCTTTGTTTTTATACCATACTATGTCCTTCTAGTCAAGCTGTTAGGCAATAAACACAGTTATAATAAGCTGTTATATAATAAATACAGTCCTGAAAGAAATACTGCCAACTGACTTATAAGAAATGTTGCAATTGTAAAATGTTATAATTGTAAAAGAGAATATTTTTATTCAGAGAAAGGCAAAAATAGTTTACCAAATTAAATCAAGGTTAACCGGGAAAAGGCAAAGAAATTTACTAGTATCCCAAACCATCAGAATGAAGCAGATTCTGTAACATGGCAATGTTTAACAACAAAATAAAGAGATAACATTTTAATATCATTAGAAATATTGTTTCTTGGATACAAAGGAGGAGTACTGATGAGGAATGAATAAGTTGGTAGAGTGCTTGCCTCACATGCACAAGGCTCTGTGTTCAATCCCCAGCACCACAGAAAAAAAAAAAGAATAACTCCAGATAAGTGCTTGTCGGAATACTCTGTTGGAGAAAGGTGAAACTGATAGAAGATGTAATTGATAAATATAGGATGTACCTCAATATGCTGAGAGATTTTGACATCAGAGGAAGTGTTTGAGATGAAAAAGTGAGACATACATAAAAAGAGGGTTTAGATGTGAGATGTCTTCCAAAAGCTCATGTGTCAGACAATGTAAGAAAGTTCACAATGAAATGATTGTGTTATGAGAGCCTTAACCTAATCAGAGCATTAATCCCAAGATAGGGATTAACTGAGTGGTAACTGTAGGCAAGTAGGGTATGGCTGAAGAAGGTGAGTCACTGGGGATATGCCTTTGGGATATATATTTTGTCCTTGGAGGGTGGAGTGCTCTCCCCCCCCACACACACAAACACACCCCTTTATGTCTTGTTCCCAGCTGCTTTCCTCCACCAGACACTTCCAACATGATGTTCTGCCCTACCTAAGCCCTGAGGAATGGAACTAACCATCTGTGGACAGATACCTCTGAAATTGTAAGCTTCAAAATATATTTTTCCTCCTCTAAACTTGTTCTTGTTGGGTCAAAGAAGTGAAAAAGCTGACTAAAACACTTTTTTTATCTTTTTATGAAAAAATACTTGTCTCCCCACTCAGTGCTCCCAAAGTACTATTGTACAAATCTCTATTCTAACATGCAAAACTGGATTGCAATTATTTATATCTCTCTACATATGCAAATAATTACTAATTTTAGGAAAAAAAAAAGAGGTATGTATAAAGGAGAAATGATTATAGTACACTAAATGAATCAGATGTATATACTCTTATGCTGTCATAATTGTGTAAAAATTAGACAAAGTTCTAAACAAAATTATATAACTCTTTAGGAAGAATGGGTGGATAGAAAGACACAAAAGAGACAGTGAAAGAGCCAAACATTAATTATCCATGCAGAAAATCAATATATAATTGACAACACTAAAGAATAAATCAAGAAATATCAGTGGAACTATTTTGAAGTCTAAGGCAGGAGGATTCCATGCTTGAAGCCAGCCTCAGCAACTTACTGAGACCCTGTCTTAAAATAAAAAGTAAAAAGGTCTGGGATGTAGCTCATTGGTAGAGCACCCCTGGGTTCAATCCCCAGTACTTCAAAAATAAAAATAAAGAAAAGAAAGAGATACCAATGAAAGCATATTGCTTAGTGACAGAGGTAAATACCAAAACGAAGAGTTGAAAGTGGTGGCCTTTAGGAAGTGAATAGAGGGAAATGAGAGACTTTCATAGAATCAATGACAGGAGACAAGCATTTTTCATAAAACACTATCAGGTTCTAGTTTCAGTACCTGGTTAACACTAGTAAATAGTCAAACAAAAAATTTTAATGAAAGAAAGCAAGTATTGCTATGATTTCTCTCTACTTTCCCTCCTTTGGAGATAGAGGTGAGCAGGATTACGTTTGTGAAAGAGAAAAAACTGAACAACACAGGTAGAAAGAAGTACTATTGTAGAATGTGAGCCAAACCCAGCATGTGATGCTCAGGGCCACTTTGTTCCTTGTTTTTATTTGTAAACTGCTATGACCATAAAGGAGAACTTGGGTTTCTTTTCAGAGAAAAGAACTGTCATTTCCTGGACATTTGGTGTCAAGTATAATGATCAATGAACCTGATGTCTTAAGGGAAACTTCCAGGCAGGCTTGCTGTGAGCTATTGCCCAGTTGCTTTTATTTATTTCTCTGAAAATATGAGTTCTTTCCTGACTTGTGATTCACATACAAATGATATACAAACGCCAAATGTTATAAATCAAAAGTATGAAATGTTGGTCTGGGGATGTGGCTCAAGCTGTAACGCGCTCTCCTGGCATGCATGCGGCCCGGGTTCGATCCTCAGCACCACATACAAACAAAGATGTTGTGTCTGCCGAAAGCTAAAAAAAATAAACATAAAATTCCCATTCTCTCTCTCTCTCTCTCTCTCTCTCTCTCTCTCTCTCTCTCTCTCTCTCTCTTTAAAAAAAATTATGAAATGAGAAGGATTTTAGAACTTAAACCCTCAATTGGACCATTTTCTGTGCTACAGAAATTTGATAATGTATGCCCTAGAAGCATAAGCAGCTGTATAATCAAGTGAGATGTTTAAAAACTTATACAAAGATAGTAAGGAATTCAACACTTCCCCCTAAGAAAACATTGCAAGGAAATTTTAAAGCAAAAATTCACTAAAAACATAAACTCAATAATAAATACATTTCATTATTTTTTGTAAGGTTTTCTTGTTTAAAATGTGGCAGCAAGCCCTGTGGGGGCTTATATATCTTTCACTTAGATTTTTTTTTCAGTTATTAAGATTTTATCACATTTGTATTCTCGCTCTCACTTATCTTTCTCTTTTCTCTCTCTGGTGTGTGGTTTGTATACATACATACACACATGTATCTATTTTTTTTTCTTTTTTTTCCCCATGAAACATTTTGAAGTAAGTTTTATATATATTTTACTTTATCCCTAGAAATATCAGGTAGCACATCCTAAAAATGGTAATATTCTCTTGTATAACCACAATATCATTGTGATACTTAGAAAATTAATATGAATTTAACATCATGTAATATATACACAGTTGATATTTAACCTTTCCTAATTGTCTTTTATAGCTGCTTTCATTTTGTTTTCTGTTCCAGGATCCAATCAAGTCTCACCCATCGTATTTTTTTGTCACATCCCTGGAAGAAGATTTTGATAAGCCACACTGGGTTAACATTGTTATCAGGTGGCATCCTTTTGGGGTAAAACTGAAGACTTCCTAGGAGAATGGATCCAGTTAATTGTGGGTCCAGCTTTTGTTTTGCTGAGGGAATACACAGAATGAGACCAAACTGAATTGGTAAGACAAAGAGGGGGCATTACTTTCTTAACATTGTAACAGTGGTCCACTTTGTGCTTTGGGTACAGCCCTTGCTACTCTGCCACTGTGACTTATTTTCTTTCTCTTCCTCTCTCCCTATTCCTTCCTGATGTCTCCACCTCCCTAATCTCACTGGTGGTGGTTGGGGGTGTTCTTCCCCATCCTAAGCAGAGTTGTCTGTCCTTGAGCATATACCCACAAAGTCATTCAGACTTGGGATTGTACCACAAGATCTCAAAAATGACTATCTCCCAAATTAACAAGTGAATCATAACTCCAACAGAGAACCCTGGAATGTAGCCTTTGAATCACTTCTTTAAAAGCTCCCTGCTGCCCTTAATGGGCAGAATCACAGCCTCCTGGACAGGAATCCCTTGTATTTCTCTTTTGCTAGCAAAGCATTAAAAGTTCTTTTTCCTTTTTCTCAAATTAGTGTCCTCATTACGGGATTGACATTGGGGACAAGGACAGAGCTTTCGGTAACAAAACCAAAGTTTAGGCATTTAGTTAAAAGAAGCTTGAGAAGACAAAGCGTGTGTGAGTGTGTGTGTGTGTGTGTGTGTATGTATCCTGGATAGCAACCGCAAGTTTTAGGGAGTCCCAAACTTTTATCATGCTCAGAACACCAAATAATTAAGCTTTTCAAAGATGTTTTGGTTTGACCCTAGGTTTAGGAAAAAAATGAACATTATTTTACTTAGCAATAAATTACCAATAACAATAGGGCACTCAAAATTACCTCTTCTGTAGCTGCTCATCAGACATTTGCAGCTCTTGTTTCAAACGCATATATCTGTCTTTCCTCAGCAGCCTAGAACCATCGTAGAGGCTAAGCTCTCGGTCATGGATCAACCTAGTGGGATAAAGGGAATGTCAGAAAACAAACTAGCCAGTTCTGAACAGTGACGTTATTAGAAATAGAAGCATTCGATCAACACTTTAATCATGTCTATTATAGGTTGTAGCTGAGTCAAATTATTTCATTAGATGGATTTTTCAAAATTTCAAGGTGGCTAGTGCTGTTATATTTGGCAAAACTTATTTTCTGTACTAGAGAGCTACAGTCATAACTACTAGATGTAGCCAGTGAGGGGGAGGGAGAGGAGAAGGAGGAGGAAGAGTGGCAAGGAGGTGGAGAAGAGGGACAAAAAGAAACAGCTGAATGAGTGTCTCAGAATTACCATAGGGTATATATTACTGAGCAAGGCAGTTGTCACATACACCCGAATCTGATATAACTCTTTAAGGGAAAGTATTATCAAAATATTTCTATCTTTGGAATTAGATGATTTTAAATATCAAAAATCTTCATAATGAAATAACTATACTGCTATTTCTTTTTTTTAAGTATTTACTTATTTATTTATAGTTATAGTTGGACACAATGCCCCTATTTCATTTGTTTTTATGTGGTGCTGAGGATAGAACCCAGTGCCTCACACATGAAAGGCTGGCGCTCTACCACTGAGCTACAGCCCCAGCCCCACTACACTGCTATTTCATATACCAATTCTGATGCTGGCCTAGCCATCTACACCAGAAACAGCACTGTCTTCCAGGTGCTGCAAAAGTCAAAAAGCACCAACCACTAAGTCTGATGACACCCATGTTAGGAGCTGCAACATAGTCTCCATTCTATGGGTCTCTAATGCTGAGGTTATGGGCATGGGCAGTGGACTCAGCCAGACCTGGGTTCAACTCTAGCTTGGCATTTTACTCCCTGAATGAGAGGGAATAATATCTCTACATTTTTATCTTTTACAAAATTAAGGCAATAATTTTACAACCTCACAGAGTTCCTATGAAAATTGAATAATATAAAAAATGATTAACAGAGTTGCTCTCAATCTTTATTGTACATTAAGTTCTTCTGGGAAGTGCTTAAAAATGCCAATGTTCAAGCCTCAGCCTGAACCAATTAACATCAGAATTTGTGAAGGTGGAACCCAGGCATCGGTATTTTTAAATTCCCAACCTGCAAGGTAATTCCAAGGTTGAAAACCTGAGAAGCACTGTCTTAAAACAATGTCCAGCACAGAGTAAGTACTCAATTAATGATAGCTGCTGCTGCTGCTATTCCTGCTTAGCTGAACATTCAAGAGACAGTAAATAAAAGGTGACTTTATTTTATTTTTTGTCTACACATTTTTCTCCTTGGAAGATAAAAATATTATAAGTATAAAATATTTATGGTAAATCACTGAAAGTTTGTGATAGTATTTTAAATGTGTTCAAATCTAATTAGAATTAATACATTTGGGATCTTTAATATACTATCTGCATCTTGTCAAGGACAAAAACTTTTTGAATAGTTAGTTGGGGAAATGGCTTATTGTACTTATTTGATTCTTCCCTATAATTCAAAGTTGACAATCAATGTCCAAAAATCATAGAACCAAGAAGAATAAAAAATATCACTAATTACTTTTCTAAAATGACACAGGGTAGAAATATTTTCCACAAAAATTACACATGAAGAGGCTTCTCTCAACACTAAATTCTACAGAAGTTTTAAGAATATGTAAATATTTTTCTCCATCAAAACTAAAATAATTTTTTAAAAAAATGGTGACATAAATGTTTATTACAGCAAAGTCAGCTTTTCTAATCTCTATACAATATAATCAAATAGCTAAAACATTTTAAATTAAAGCTACATTTTTCTCTTTCTCAAAAAACAAAGATTCCAACAAAATCAACCAATAATATAGATCCAGATCAATATGGAATTTGTAACTAGTGAAGTTATAACTCTAAAAAAATACAGAAACTCCAGCTCTATAATTTGTTGCATATGTAACTCTGCAAATATAAAGTCCTTCAAAATTATTGAGAATTTTTTTTCAGCTATGAAGAAAAAAAAAAGTTATGGCTATGGCATTTCCGAAAATGTTCATTATTTGGATTTGTGCTGTAATATATCTGTAAAAATAAGTAATCTCACATTCTACTCGGACACAGAAATATGAGCTTTTCAAGATGTAGAAACCCAGTTTAAAAAAAAAATGGGAGCAATCCATGTCTGCTGCTTAAGTCGACATGGTGTGTGTCTGCATATTTGTGTGTTTTGGGTTTTTTGTGTATGAGTGTGTGACTCATACAAACCTCTGCAATACAGCAAGTGTGCCAGCATTGACCCGGTGAATGCCATCCAACAAGACCAGCTTGCCTTCCAGAGCAGCAGTCACAAGGGGTGAGGACCTCCAGGCAGTGTCTCCATTTGGAAGTGTGTATCTCTGCTGGAGCAGATCACGAGCTGTCATATCCTAAAACAAATTCCAGAAATCACAAAAAAAGTTAATTTTTAAGACATGGATTTGGCTCTCTTTCTGTACAAATTATTTCATATAACAACTGGGAAGTCATCTTCTCAAATTCACTGAAAAGAAAGATTTTCAGAAAGCTTAAGGTTTTCCTCCTATTATCTGTAAGCATTACATAGTAAGAGTGAGGATTTGTTCCCCCTTCTCCTTTTATTGAGCATTTCCTTCTCTTTTAAAAAGTTCATTTAGATAATAGCAATAATTTAATGGAATTTAACTCAGTTCCCCTCCTGCAGGGAGTAAAATGCATTGATTCCATTTTAAAATGAGAGACTATGCAAAGTCAACCTTCAGAGATCCTTATCAAGAATGTGCATTTTCTTGCAGTTGATGAGTTCTCCTGAAAAGCCACTACAGTCCATCACAGTGACTAATTATATTTAAAAAAGGCTTGATAGTGGAGGAAATCTAGGAGGACAGTCATCAGATGAGGTACAAGAATTCAGAAACAATAGCATGGCACTTACAAGCAAATTTTTAAGGTACACATACAATATGCTAGCACTAAAATAGTGTAACAGGCTTAAGCAAACTATTAATTGCCGCAGACTGGCTGGGCACAAAATCACGAGCCACTCAAGCAGGAACAAACTTTATTTCCAAAACTCCCGCAAATGCCACGCACGCACACTACCTACAGGAAATCCCTCCTCCGGAATTCCCTCCTACCGCACTTCCCCAACCAATGGGAACTCTCAGGGAGTCCCACGAGAGCTCCAAAGGAGCAGGCCAAGGCAGACAGCAGGGGTCTAATCTCCAATTAAATGCACATCTTAACATAATCATTATCATCTCAATGGCTTGCCGGTGTCACCTTTCAACCAAAAATGCCATGTGTCATTCCTACTTGGCTATGGCTCTCAGCAATTAATATTTATGATATATAAAAATCTACTGTAAAAGATTAGTGCCATACAACATGAACAATTTTTTCTTATATGTATTAAGATTGAAGGCAATAATTTCTTTACTGTTAGCAACTTCAGATACATTTTATGCCACATACATCAAACAAGCTGAACTTTTACAGTCAACATTACACAAAAATTTAAAGTGTTTTGTAAATTCTTTGATAACCACTGAAACTTTTAAGTAGATAAAACATTCATGGAGGCGGACCTGCGACCCCCAGGCAAAACAGGCCCAGCAACCCACGGAGGGGCAGAGCCGCCCCCGCGCCTGCAAGGTAGGCGGAACTGCGACCCACCGGCAGAAAAGGCCCAGCGGCCTGGACGCCCCCCCACGCCTGCAAGGTAGGCGGAACTGCGACTCACCG